TGCTGCTCATGATCAGCAGCAGTAACTACAAACCATGATAAAAACTGTGCAACAACAGTAACATAATCACAGTAACAATAGCCACAGTGACAACAGTAGCAGCAGTAGCTAGTGCTGCTCATGATCAGCAGCAGTAACCACAAACCATGATAAAAACTGTGCAACAACAGTAATAACAGCAACAATGACAACAACAACTAAGGCTGTTTTTCTATCATTCATTCCATCATCATTAAGTCCATTTATTTATTCATCCATCCATCCATCCATCCATCCCTCCATCCATCCATCCATCCATGTATTCATTCAATATTTGTTCTTTCTGCATTCAGACAAATTCTGAGGAAAATCAAGAGAAAACGGACTCCAAAGAAAAAGAAGAAAAAGAAAACGTTGACCAAAAAGAAACAAGTAATGGAGAGAGCAACACAGACACAAAGGAAAATATTACCCTGAATGGTAATGCTGAACATCAAACAGAGAAGACAGAAGAAACAACTGAAAAACCAAAGTCAGACAAGCAAGAATCTTCTGCAACTGTGATAAGTATGTAGTACTAAAAGTACTGTTGAATTTGTCTCATGAAAATTTTTTTTGAAGGTTAAGCATTCTTGAGAGGTTTTGTCTTTGATAGGCTACTGAACAAAACATCAAAGACAAAACTTCTCAAGAATGCTTTTACATTGCATCTAGAAAATGTGCTATACTGTTGCAACTTGCAACTTACTGACAACCACAACTGGAATATGTTTTACAGCTATGTTACTCATCTCATTCTCATGGTATAGGCCTGAATTAACTTGCTTTTTGATGCTTTTTTTGTTGTTGCTTTTTTTTGGACTGGACACTACAACACCACCACACCATTTGAACCTTACCCTCAAGTTTGCACTCTTGCACTTATGTTATTGTTAAATTGTAATAATTTTACTTAACTCTGATTTACTTGTAGCTCAAGAAACTCATCTAGAGGCATTCAAAGCAGCTGCTGCCGCTGTGGGCTCATTGTCTGATAGAGGTGAGTTAGAGCTTACCACATTAGAACTTACAAAAAAGTATGAGAGTAAAACTGTTGTCATGGCTTAAATCTACAATTCAGACTCAGACCCTAGACCCTTCAAAATCATGAATCTAAGTAGTAAAGAAGACATACATTGGTTTGTTAACAGTCATCTTTTTTCTTTGATACAAATAATATTGATTTGCTCTGGTTCTTCTCTTAACTTAGAATTTGAGATTCGATTTAACCCTGATACCAACACACCAGAGGTGAAGCATGGCCCATCAGAGGTATGTCCAACAAACTGAAACAATGGTAGCTTATGCTAACCTGTATGTTTATGTGCTCTAATATACAATAGCAAAATGCCAGTATAGACCTTTTTCTCAAGGCTGCACGATCCAAACTTAAGGAACTTGACAGGCCACGATACCAGAACACGAGCTTTATGATGAGTATTATCATACATTGCTATGAATTTTTTTTGATGAAGATTCATTCAATTGATTATTCTCCTCTTTGAATATAAAACTGGCTTCTCAATTTTACTGAATTTGCATTTTTCAATTTTGTGGCCCATCAAGTTGGATGCGCACACGACTTTGAGAAAAGGGTCTATTGTGATGGATTTGCAATAAGAGGAATAGTAGGATTTCTTGGTAACTCTGGAAAATACACAGAATTTTTAATTATTTCTCTTTTTTGGATCATTTTGCAGGAGAAGACTTTACTTATCGACAAGAAGCTTGTCAAGGATGCTTCTAGTTATCTATTAGATACTGCTGTTGTGAAATTGGTTTGTAATACCTTTATTATTTTTTCCTTCAGATATTTTCGTTTTGTACCTTTTTTCCATATTCCCCATTTTCTCTTCTTTCACTTGCATTAATTCATCGCTCCATCAATTCATTCATTTTATATCCATCCATTATTCCATCAATTTTTTTTATTTATTCATTTATTTATTCATTCATCCATTGATCAATTCATTCATTCTTGTCCATCAATAGATCCATTCATTCATTTCCACCGATCCATCCATCCATTCATTCATTCCTTTCATTTCTCATTGTCGTTCATGTATCATGGATCATTTTTGCTTTAACAGATAGAGGATTTCATCAATCTTGTACAGACTCCATTAGACGGTGCACAACTCACAGAGATTCTTCACAACAGGTCAGTAGCATGACATGACACTGAGTTGATATTTATTCCAAAAGGTCTCAGTTCTTCTGAGACACTAATTGTTATTAATTACTGCTCATTTCATAAACATGCAAACTTGCTAACTGCAACCTGCATCCCGAAATTTGGTTTTTCGCTGCCGTCAATCAAAACTAATCAGTTGGTACCTTTCAATTTATTGACTGGTGGAAGTGAAAAACAAATTTCAGCGGCAACTTGCAGCTACAGAGTTTGCATGTTTATGAAAATAGCAGTGATGAGGATTACATTTTTTGTTGTTGTTGTTGCAGGGGAATCAACTTGCGGTATCTGGGTACCATTGCTGGTATGGTATCAACCAGATCAGACCTTGAGCACATTCTTGTAAGTATTCTGTCAGAAAACAAAAAACTTGTCCCTACCTTACATGGGTCTCAGAGGCCGTAATGGTAGGGTGTCCCTACTGATAGGCCTAACTAGTGTCCCCTTAGGAAGGAAAACAACAGACTTGTCCCTACCTCATATGGGTCTCAGAGGCTGTTAAGGTAGGGTGACCCTACTGATAGGGCTCACTAGTGTCCCCTGCAGAAGGAAAACGACAGACTTGTACCTACGGCTGTAGCACCAGGGTTACCCTATCCTTATATGAAACAACTCTATAATAACATAGTGTGACCCTACTCCTATACTAGGGCTGACTCTTTAGATTTGGTGTCCCTTTGGAGAAAGAATACTGTGAATAGACTTGTCCCTAGCACCAGGGTCATCCTACTTTCATTTGTACAGGCTATAAGTTTGATGGATGGAACCAGAATAAGCAATGTGCTGTCTCTGGTAGGGGAATGGAAAGGTAAACTCACAAAATCTTTCATGTCTGATACAAACTTTTTTTGTTTCACAGAAAGTCTGTGTGAGTGAAATGATCGCACGAACAGCCAAGCAAATCTTCAGAGTTCACATGCAAAGCTGTAAGTTAATCTGTTCCACACTAGCTATCACATGTTGAAACCTTTAGCAAAAGCCATGTTGTTTGGATCACTGATGCGAGTCCAGAGATTCACCATGTACAGTGCTTTGAGATTCCTTTGCCAGTTTTATTTGCATTTAAACTACTTAATTTATATTTATATTTTTTAGGCACACTTCGTACTTTATCTGTCGCTGTAAGCCATTTTCTGAATTGCTTTTTGGTAAGTTTTAGCTGTTTTTGTATTTTTATTACAGTTTTTTAAATAAGATTTTTTATCTTTTTCTAAATCTCCAAAATCTTGTATTGACACCCATATTTTCTTTTTTTTTACTTTAGTCTTCGCATGCAAGCCCACAACCTCAACTTCCTGTAGAAGAAGTAAGTTAATACTATTTTGGCGCGAAAACGCAAGTGCTTTATGCATTCTACTGAAGCACTAAAAGGTGGGAATTTCCCTCTCGTCAGCAGTGTGACACCAATCATTTGTAAAAACGACTTCTGGCTCCACTTTGGCTTTTCTTTAAAATTTCCTTTTATTTATGTATTTTTGTTGCCAAAGGTTGGTAGTAAAAAGAAAAAGAGCAAAAAGAAAGCCTCAAAGTCCCAGGCAGCAAATGGTTCTAATGTGGTAGTGTGGGCAACACTCACTCCTGAAGAATTATGGAAGACCATAGTTGAAGATGTTAGTAATAACTTTGGATACCAGCTGCAGTGGTAAGTGAAAAGTTTAAGGGGTACCATATATTCTATTACTGTATAGGAGGGGAAGTTTGGGGAGTTACATCAAGTGCCATGACAATATTAGACCCTCCCCCTTGGTGGTCAAAAGTGTCATAATCCTTACCCTCCCCCTGTAGTCAAAACAGTCATAATCCCTACCCTCCCTCTGTAGTCAAAAGTGTCATAATCCCTACCCTCCCCCTGTAGTCAAAACAGTCATAATCCCTACCCTCCCCCTGTGGTCAAAACAGTCATAATCCCTACCTCCCCTGTGGTCAAAAGTGTCATAATCCCTACCGCCCTGTAGTCAAAAGTGTCATGATCCCTACCCTACCTACCCCTGTAGTCAAAAGTGTCAATCCCTACCCTCCCCCTGTAGTCAAGAGTGTCATAATTCCTACCCTCCCCCTGTCCTCACAGGTTTTTGTAACCATCTTATGTAACTCCCATTTAATTAAATCACTTTTTCTTGGTCTTGATTCTCATATTTTTTAACATCATTTTGATGTATTTGAAATTAAAAATATGATGTCTTCTGATATTTCTAGTGATAGTTGTGATAGTGCTGTGTCGAGATATGCTATCCAGAAGATTTCTCTCCTCAGATCATGGTGTCTTAAAAGCGGTGAGTAAATACAAGTAATACAAGGCTTTTGTTTTTATCAGAATCAATGGTCCTCTCTTTGTCAAAAGATGAAACAATTAAATGTAGTTCTGGAAGTCACTGTTTTGTTTGTTTGTTTGATTGTTTTTTGTTTATTTGTTTGTGTTCTTGTAGTTTCAGTACTCTTATTCTCTACCTTGTTTTCTCATAGGAGTTCAAATTCTTCTTCGTGAGTATGATTTTGACAACAAGAAGCACTCCACCTTTAAAGAGGATGACATTTTGAACCTGTTCCCTATTGTGAAGCACACAAACCCTAAGGTATAATACAGTACTACAGTATGCTCTTCCTTCACAATTTATCTATAATATGAACATCATGAGTCTTTCCGATATTGAGGAAAAAACATTTGGGGCTGTTTTAGGTGACAGAATGATGTCAAAATATGTCCCCCAAAACAGTCCCAAAATGCACTGCAATGCCAACTTGACCCAGATTATTCCCTTAACCTCAGATTGGCTATTGATACATGTAGGGAATATTTTTTTATATATTATTTATTATGTTTCTTTTCTCTTTATGTCAATAGGCCTACGATGCAGCTGCTGTGTTTGAAGCTGCTAACGCACGGCTTCAAGCAGGTGTGTAAAACTACTTTACATATTATTTCTATTAAACAAAACTTACTCAAAAACAAACTAGTCTACTAAAAAGCCACCTTGGATGGCCATTTAAAAGGAAATGCTTAATAGAGGTTGGCCCTTAAAATACAACTTGTTGCTCAATACATGGCCACTCTCTTTAAAAATGACTTGCAAAACCATGCAACCCTATTACACTTTTCATATAATAGCCACTATGTATGTTATTTTTTCTCTGCCTTCATGAGTCAAGTGAGGGGAAGCACTGCCTAATTTTTAACCCCTTTAACAGGTTTTCTTGGTGAAGCCCACGAGCTAATGGTTGAAGCTCTAAACTTGTTCCATCAAGTATATGGACCTCTTCATCCTGACATAGCAACGTGTTACAGGTGAGATAAAAAATGATTATTTATAAATTAAATATCCATTTTATCAAACCCTGAAACAACCTCTGGGTTTAAGTCATTTTAAGCAATTTTGGAATACTTATTCTTCAGAACAATAGCAAGGTTACACTACTTGGCTGAAGATGCTGTTCAGGTGAGACATTGGAGCTTATAACTAATTTAATCTGTGTGGTCACAAACGTCAAACAATCAAAAGCATCTTTCTCATGACAATCCTCTCCCTTAAAGAATTTTTTTAGCTATTTCTTTCTATGACATTGCTTCTTCCGTCCCCCCCCCCCCTTCATTTCCCATAAAACACGAATATCAGCTATAAAATTAATGTTGTCTGTTTTAACCATGATATATTATTATGTCTTCAGTCTGTAGCCTATCAGAAGAAGGCTGTTCTTGTCTGTGAGAGGGTACTCGGAGTGGATCATCCAGATACTATCATTGCATATGTAAGTGGTATACCAGGGTTTGACTTAACAGATCAAAAACAGTTTTCTGTGTTTGATACTCTGATCAAAACATGCAGGGTGCTGAGAGAACACGAGAGGAGCGTAGGAAACCACGACGCGCACACTAAAATAGCGTGTTTTGATACTCTCATCAAATATGGTTTTCGACCAATCGTAGCGCGTGTAGTATCCCAATTATTTTATAATATTCTTTCTTTAAAACACTGGATATTTCTTTACTTCTATGATGGGCATGTGTGTTGTCTAGTGGTATTGTATATTTAAATCAAAAAGATGTTAACATATAGTAAAAAACTTTTTGTTCCTTCACTCATTTCACTATTTTTCTAACTTGTACAATGGACTTCGTTTTGTTGTTTTACCCCACTATTCTGTAACACAGAACTCACCATTATTAACCTGTGATTGTTTGTTTCAGGTTCACCTTGCTCTGTACTGTCATAATGCTGGTATGGTATCACTGGCTCTCAAGCTCATGTACAGAGCAAGATATTTGGTTCTTTTGGTGTTTGGTGAGGGTCACCCTGACATGGCAACCTTTGATGTAAGTACTCACTAGGAAACATCCTCTTCTTTGTTCCTTACTTGTTCCTCTCTTACTTACTTCCTTACTTACATCTTTTATTCCTTCCTTCCTTCCTTCCTTCCTCCCTCCCTCCCTTTTTTCTTTTGTTGGTTCATTCCTTTGTTCCTCCCTTTGTTCCTTCCTTCCTTCCCTTGTTCGTTCGTTCATTCTTTTCTTCATTCCTTCATTCCCTCTTTCTTCTTTTGGTTCTATTGAATACCTACCTATAGCTACTATACATTTTCATTGTCTTACCCTAGAGCAACATTGGACTCATGCTTCATGGTCAGAGGGAATTCAAGATGTCTGAGAAATTTATGGAGAAAGTTCTCAATGTTCAGCTTAAGTAAGTGTTTATTAGAGTGCAAACAATATATCTGTGAAACACTAATTACTAAATTGTTCACAATAGTGATAGTTAAACAAAAGACAACAATATAATTAGCATAATATAATATAAGTTAGTATTACTAATATTTCATTGCACTTTATCGTGGCCTCTCAAGTTTCCAATCATTTATCGTTTGTCATTCAATTTAAAAGTAAGTTGCAGAATATTGAATAGGAAGTTAACAATTAGCAAATTTATGTTATAGGTACCATGGGAGTACAAGTATTCACACGGCCATGGGGTGATTATACAATATTTATGTTACATGATGATGATAATGATGATATAGTTATAAATCAAAGTGATGCTTGAATGATGATGATGATTACAGTGATGATGATAATGATATAGTTATAAATCAAAGTGTTGCTTGAATGATGATGATGATTACAGTGATGATGATAATCATATAGTTATAAATCAAAGTGATGCTTGAATGATGATGATGATTACAGTGATGATGATAATGATGATATAGTTATAAATTTAAGTGATGCTTGATTTTGATGATAATAAAAAATGGCAAAGAAAGTAAGTTTTTCTCTTGGTATTTTCATAGCTTCCATTTGTTAGCTCGTGCCAAGGCTTGTGTCAATGATTTCCGTGCAGCTCTGCAAAACGAGAAGTCAGCATACTCTGTATACAAGACCAAGGTTTGTCCTATCCTATTCCTTACCTTAAATCATGTAGATATATAAGCACAATCTGGCTTGCTATGGAGGCTTTTCACCACGACGTGATGGTAGCCATGACAGGAGGCACAAAAATAGTATTTGAGGAAACTGAATTATTCCTGATGCAAATCAGATTAGATCAGATTCAATTGTTCCTGCCTCCTGTCATGGCTGCCATCACGTGATGGTGCACTAAAGCCTTTATGTGAAATATATTATGGATCTGTTAAAGTATATATAAAGGAATTTTTTTATTATTTCAAAATCACTTATATGTGAA